ATGTAGCCCGAAGATTGGGATGATGAGGAAGATGGTGAGTGGACAGCCCCTACCATTCCCAACCCTGAGTACAAGGGCCCATGGAAGGCAAAGGTTTGTGGAAATTATATTGTAAATTTGTAACATGTGAAATATGACATATTGCTGGAATATGTTTGTTCGATGGATTTGCTTTCTGACTTTTCATGCTACATCTCTTCAGAAAATCAAGAACCCCAACTATAAAGGAAAGTGGAAGGCACCATTGATTGACAACCCAGGTTCATTTCGTTATTCATCCTTTTACATTGTAGTAATAATATATATATCCTTTTTGTTATAAGATAAATATATTCAACATTTGAAAAACATTTGTCAGATTTCAAGGACGATCCCGACCTATATGTTTTCCCCAACTTGAAGTACGTGGGCATTGAATTGTGGCAGGTAAACTTTTCAGTTTTATATCGCTCTATATTTAGTTGATCCTTTAGGATCGAAACTCTGACAATCAGGCTATTTTATGTTACAGGTGAAATCTGGTACTTTGTTTGACAACGTCTTAATTACCGATGATCCTGAATATGCTAAGCAACTGGCTGAAGAAACATGGGGCAAGCAGAAGGATGTAAGTTCTTTCTATTCTCTAATCTCTTAGTTTGCTGTTGAGTGATATGATCTCCTTAATGAAATTATGTTCTTGCAGGCTGAGAAGGCAGCATTTGAAGAGGCCGAGAAGAAGAAAGAAGAGGAGGTAACTTTCGATGCTGAAAAGAATGTTTGAAAAAAAATTTTGTTGAACAAATTTTGTTTCGAAGAAAGTAAACTTTTCTTACACCTTCCATATTTTGAACAATTTTCCAGGAATCAAAGGATGACCCAGCTGATTCTGATGTAAGTAGAACTATTGATTCCTGAAATTCTTGTCTATCATCAGTTACACTGATTCTGACGAAGTTCATGTTCTCTATAGGCTGAGGATGAAGAGGAAGATAACGATGAAGCTGGCAGTGATGACTCTGATGAATCAAAGACAGAGGCTGGGGAAGACACCAAGGAAGAGGGTTTACATGTAGGTTTTTTAATTCCTTCAGTACCTCACTCTAATCAAGCTTGCCAACAATATATTTAAAAAATGTATTTAATAATTCTCTTCACGCCTTTTATTTGCAGGATGAGCTCTAGGGAGTTTGGAAAATGGATAAGGAGTGTGCGGAAATTATATTCTGGAAAGTTATATCTTTTTCAGTCGTAGCGTTTTGTTTTATTTTTCTTAGATAAGCAAACCATTGGAAAAATGCTAGTAAGAGCTGGAGCTTTTGCTTCAATCACATTTGACTATTTCACTGATTAGAACAGGCAAAAATGTCTATTTTGGGATATGTTTATTTTTCGATCAATTGAGTTTCCAGTTACGACCCATCTTCAAAATCTAATTTTCTGTATATCGGTGAAAATTTTACTTGTTTACTAAAATTAATCTAATTTAAGAGATTAATTTATATTAATATCATTTCAATTACTCTTTAGAAAGTGATAATATATTAAGTACCCCCAACAGTAACACTAACTAATATCATAGTTGTCTTAGAGACTTCATCTGTCGTCGCTATTTAATTGAAAATTTGAAGTGTGGAACAGTAACACTAACTAAAGAAATGCAGTATTTACACATTCTTCCATTAGTATTTTATTGGTATTCCCTTATTGGTTTGACAAATAGTAAATACATTTATCGTCAACTTAATTTTATATCAATTTGAACGGCTAAAAGTTAATTACGACTATCAAAACTGGGTTAAATGAATAAATCAGTTTAACGTATATAATCCTTTAATTATATATATATATATAATATGGCTATTATGGTAAATACGGATATAATAATCTATACCAGTAATTCTATACTAATAATAAAAAGAATTACTCCATTTGTTTCTACATTATTCGAATAATTTTGTCCTTATATCTCTTAAATTACTCTTTTTCTTCACTTTTTTTTAATTTAGTTTTATTTTTTATTTTTTCTACTTTTTTTTTTGGTAATACAAAGATGATTGTAATGGGAATTGAACTTAGGTCCTCATGCTTCTAACTACTTCCAACCTTTCTTCACCCAACTACTAGGCTAACCCTAGTGATCTACTTTTATTTTTATTTTTAGATTGCTTATAATTTACTTTTATTTTATATTTTAAAAATTTATGGAGGCATGAAGTGTTTTTTGACACTATTCATTCAATAATCAGTTTATTTTTGAAGGAGGTAAGGATAATTATTTTACTATCTTGTAACAAGTCAAAATACTTAAATTATAAATCCTAAACTTAAATAAATTCGATTTTAACAGGTTTCAACATTCATTTGTATAGAAATTCGTCTCAAATAAGTTTGCAAGAGTATGTTTGATTTCACTTTTATTATATTTAGAATCAATTTTGTCCAAATTCACACCTACTTGAAGACAATTAATAGTAGTGTCTCCATAAAATAAAATTAATATTAAATTTTTATCTACTCATATTTATAATTATACACTCCAAATCAACTTCTGTAAATTTATGTTGATTTTAAATTAATTATATTAACAATTATTAAAATACACTTGGTATAAAAATATACATATATATGTTCAAAAATACACTTGCATCACAACCACCTCAAGAAAATCTCTGGGACCAAACCGAGTACCATCAAGACTCGAAATAAAAGTTTAAAAAAGAGACATGCAATGTAGTTTATCCATTTTACTAATATCCTTAAGATTTTCTATTTTCTTGAATTTAAAATATCATTGGGTTACCCTATAAAATAACCTATATAGTATTAAAAAAAAATAATGAACATTCAATGGTAGAGCTGTGTTCACTAAAATTTTCAAAATGAACCACTTGTTCAAACAGATCAAAGTTTGAGAAGCGGCTGTGCGGTGGGTGATTTTCATATAGGATATTTGTCATGGTTGGCGAAATTAACATTTTTTTCCCTTGTACATTTTCTATAAACAAAAAATAAAAAATACCGAATATTTTCATATTCTAAATTGACTTGTTTGTCCCATCAACACTATATTCTTTCTAGGTCTCAAAATAAAAACTCCTGTCTAATATAGTCTCACTCACCAAGTCATTAGTTCGGGCTAATTTTGATAATTTTAGTTTTTAGAAGATGTTATAACTTTCTTATTTTTTTATATATAATTATTTTAAAAATATTATTCCCTTTATTTCAAATTTCAAAATAAAGTAACATTTTAACACAGTTTTCATATTAAATAATTTTTTAAGTTTTTCTTAACTACTTTCTCAATCTTTTCTAATTTCGGTAACTAGTTTCTTTGAGCATAAGATAACTATTTGTTACCATTAATTCCAGGGGACTAAACACACAAACAAAAAAGTTAAATAAATTAACAATTCGATCACAAATCTTTATTGTTCGGAGACATCTAAAAACATTTAAAAAAGAGACCAATAAATATATTAAACTGTATTTTATTACTACCTCAAGTTTTTTGTTAACTTGAAAGTTGAAACCAGAGTCCATGCAAGTTCTATCATCCAACCTTGTCACTAATTTGAACAATCCCTACTGATGCTGAACTGGGCCCTATTACCTTGGATTGGCTTGGACCTAAATGAACATAGATGCAACAATGTTATTTTAGGCCCTAATAACAATAGTTTTTAATTTAAAGTTTACAAAATTAAATATTAAATTCAATTTTCATTTTTTTATATGTTTTATTTTCAAATTTTAATGTTCTTAAATCTAAACCACAAAATTTCATTGGGTTTAACTCAACCTATAGATGATTATCATGTTGGGTTGAATTAACCTGTCAACTTATTAAAAGTTATAAATCATTTTATTTTATTTATCTTAATTTTTTTCAAAATTTATAATTAAATACAATTATAAAAATATCAATGAATCAAATGTTAAACAAGACATTACATTAATAATAATAAAATAAATACACAATACAATTACTTAATAAAAAATAAATCATAAATAAAATATCATAAGTCAATATTAATTAATAAATTTTTTTAAAAAAAAGTAAACTTAAAAGACCAATTCAGTCCAACCCACTAATAGTGGTGATAATAATATAAATTTTCATTCTTCTCTCAATTTTAGCTCCCTTTAATATCAGAGGATTTAAAATCTTAAAAAGTAAACTTAAAATATTTAAAATATTTAAATTGTAGAAACACTTCCTAAAACGAAAATTGTATTAATTTTTTTTATGTTCTTATATTTGAAACATTGTAAGAATAAAATAATAAAGGTTAAATTGTACTTTTAATTTATCTACTTTTTATTGATATGTAATTTTTTTAAATTTTAAAATAAAGATATTTAGTTCTCTATTTTTAAAAATTTTAAACATTCAATCTTATCATTAATTTGATATTTGTTGATAGTAAAATTTTAATATTATTTAGTAATTTATTATTACTTAAATGATATAATATTTAGTGATATAACATATATAAATAAAAAATTACAAAAATATTCAAAATATCTTCATTTGTATATATTTTTATAAGTGATTAATATTTTTATTCATAAAAATCTTATATACATGTTTTTTTTTAAATATCACATCAATTAAATATAAATAAATATTAAAATTTAATAATTAATAGATATTGATTTAACGAAAGAAAAAAAAATCATATTCTTAAAATTAAAGAACTAAATATCACTATATTAAAATTAGATAGATAAAGATAGAGGAACTAAAAAAAATGTAATTTAATCCGTAATAAATTATTTTTTTCCCTTCCCCGCCTCTCCTTCCAAACCAAATAAGGAAAAGTTTCTTGCCTGTTGAGTTTTTTTTTTATTTTTTTTAATCTTTGTTTCCTTTCTTCCTTTGTATACCGTAAATAAGGAAAACTTTGCTTTTCTTTTCTCCTTTAAACCAAAGTCTATCGCGAGTACCAAGTGAAAACAGATTGCGCTTTCAGTGGATCAACCACTACAAAACTTTTGAATAGAAAATAATAAAGTGAGAATCACAAAAACAGGGATACTCATCTATTACTTTAGCCTTTAACGTTTAATATTTGCCGAAATATATATTCCTTTCGAGGAGGAACAAATAAAACACACAACCCAAATGAAACATAGCCAAAGTACACTATTTACAGAAAAAACAAAGCCACTAAAGATTAGATGATTATTATTATCACTATTATATGTCTCCGGCGCTTGGTTTTGGCTTCTTCACAATCAAAACCGGGCACTTCACGTTCTGTGCACAGTGATTGCTAACGCTTCCAAGGAAAGCCCTACCATTATTCACCATCCAAAAATCAGTTAATTAAATCCACACTTCACATGCAGAGAGGACTTAAACACTTGATTCACTTAGAAGGGTACTTTAGAGTGTGGACTCACCTCTTAATGAGACCATAACCATGGCTTCCCATCACTAAAACATCAACACCCAACTTTTGAACCATTTGACAGATCACGTCTCTTGGATCACCACTCTCTACCCTCGTCTCCAACTTAACCACACCACCCATTGAAAATATTCAGAAACTCTAACATAGGAAAAAATAAAAAGAGGACATGCATATATGTAATGTAATGTAACTAATTGACAAAGTAGGTATAGGTATAGGTAGGTACATTTTCAACATGGTTACACAGTTTCTTGGCTTTCTCCAAGACAGCATCAGCAACTTGTTGGCCATACCTCTCCATGGTTGCCGCTATGTCAGAGGAAAACAAGTACCCTGAAAAAGGATCGAATTAATTAATCATAATAAACACTAAGCTAAGGTTGTGTTCTTTTTATTATACCTGTGCCATCGAAGGCAGAAAAAACGACACGAGGGGCCTTGACGTAGAGGAGAATAAGGGTGTCTTTGGAATTTTGGAAAACGAGGTTCTTGAGGCACCATGAGAGAGCGTACATGCTCTCCTCGCCTTCATCAACCGCCACCAGAATCCGGCGTTGGTCTTCTGCCATGACAACTTTGAGATCACAACAAAACAAGACTCTGCAAAAGATAAGCTCGACTCAAATTAGTGGCTCGTGTGTTGATATGTGTCTATTTATATTATATTATATTGTATTTTTGCCACCTGTCTTATAGTAAGGTGACTTGACATGGAACATCTAAACATAGGAATTAGGATTGTTTGCTGAATCTGTTGGCGGTTTCTGGGTTTGGGCTTCTGGTTTTCGGTATTTTAACAGAATGGGCCTTGTTTTTGTTCAAATGTACGTGATGGACAATTCAATGGTAGAGATGGTTCCGTGTAATTAAACTTGCCACTTTCAGCCACCACTGGTTTCTTTTCTTCTGCATTTGAAAACAAGCCCTTAGCCCACAGAATTCTAAGCCTCAATAATGAATACAATAGTTATATTTATCGGGTTTTGGAGTTTGGACATTCAAGGCCTATAATTAATACTGTAATTGAATTTCACCATTCCAGAGTCAATGTTCATGCTGCTCTTTACATTTTAATTGTCTTTTAATGATTATGATGTTTAGAATTAAATTTAGATTTTAATTCATCGAATATCTTTTGCACTTGCCAGGAGGAAATAAATATAGTGAAAAGAAAAAAAGTGAAAGAAATATAGTAAATTTTTTATTCTTTTTTATGTAAGAGAAATAAATAAATATAATGTTGTAAAATTGTTTGATTAAGATGGAAATAGATGATGGAATGCACTGAATAAATATTCAACTTTTGCCTTTAATACCTAATATATTGATATTTAAATATGATTTTAATTCTTAAAATAAATTTGTTTTTAATTTTTAAATTTAAATTTTTTGTTTTTTAATATCTGTAATTTTATAAATTTTATTTTAGTTTTTATACTAAAATTTTATTAAGAAATTTGTTAAATACTATCACATAAGATTGTTAGTGAATATATTACATTAAGTTGAACTCAAAGTTTAAAATGAGATTTTTAAAAATTATAAGAACTAAAAATAATAATTTTAAATTTAAAAAATTAAAAAATAAGTTTATCTTATATTTAAAAAAATTAAAAATAAATTTAAGAAGAAAAAAACACTAACTAATCTTAAAGATGGTAAAAAAAAAAAAGACAAGATGAATTCACTTGATTAATGAAAATTATAAAAACAATTCAATCATGGACTCAATTATTGAATAACTCAATCATTCATTTATAAATTTCAATCGATTAGCATGTTAATTTTTTTATTTTTTTATTTAAAAGATTATATAAAAGAGAATCAAACTTAAGACCTCTCATTTTTACTTTAATTTCTTTTTCCTAATCACTAAATATTTATTATATATAATTAAAATAATAAACAAAATTTTAATATGAATATTCATATGGTTTTTATTATAAAAAATAAAAAAAGTTATTATACATGATAAATTATCATCGAATAATAATAAAAAAAAATGCATGTCCTATTTTCTCATTAAATAAAAAATATTAAAAATATAGTAAAATATTAGAAAGTTTAAACACTCACTTAGTTTCTAAAATTTCATAAATTTAATATTTTTGTAATGAAAATATTTTATTTAATTCATATATATTATAATTAAAATATTTCATTTTATAATGTTATAAATTTAATATTTTTATAACTAAAATATTTGATTTTAATTAAGTTGTACCGAGACTTTTATTCCAGATGAAATGATATAAGTTTCTTTCGGTAAAAATTAAAATAAATAAAATAAGTATACGAGTATGTAAACTTTTGAACTTATTTTTCAAATAAAAAATAACAATAATTTAGAGGAATTGGAATATAGGTGAACCGGATTACCCGGTCAGCAGTCGGGTCCCGAAAGAGGCAGAGTCGGAGTTGCATGAAAATCGTTGCAGAACAGAACACTCACTCTTTCTATATTCCTTTCTTCTTCACTCTGCTTTTCGATCTCTATACTCTCATTCTAGATTGGGAGTGGAGTAACATCCAGATCCAGCCTACAACAAAACAAAGGCCATGTTTTTCTTTGATTGGTTTTACGGAATTTTGGCATCGCTTGGCTTGTGGCAGAAGGAGGCCAAGATCTTATTCTTAGGCCTCGATAATGCCGGAAAAACCACCTTGCTTCACATGCTCAAAGACGAGGTCCCCCTCAATCGCTTTTTTTTTTATTTTTTATTTTTTTATTTACAAATCATGATAAATCATATGCTGATTGCTTCGGATTTGTCTTTCCTGAACTTTAATCCCTTTGTGCTATTTGAATCTTACGAGATTGAGTGTTTCAAAGAGGCTAATTGACTCTCTGTATTCTTCTGCATGTTGTGATTAGCAATATTGCGGACAATTTTGGCTGTGGAGTGTGGAGTGTGGAGTGTGGAGTGTGGAGTGTGGACCATAATTTAAGGTCAATCCTATGTATTTTCTGATGCAGTTTGGGAAGCCTCAAAAACTGCAATATGGGGCTCAAGGTTTTAAAAAGTAGTCTGTGACAACAATTGCAGCCTTATCATCAAGGATTTTGGGGTCTTTGTGACCGCATGATTGTATTTGTAATTGTCTCCAAATTTTCGTAATATCGAGGATCACAACAAAACTGCAATGTGACTGCAACCGCAACATAAAACCTTGATTGCACTGCATGTGCAGTTGTAGACAATTTAAAACCAATTGCGTGTATTGCATGTTATGTTTTAATGTCCTTTTTGTGACATCTAACATCTGTTTTTCAAAAATATATTTGTGTTTTTCTCAATAATAATTTTCTGGTTTTAGCAAGCTTGGCAAATTGACTTCAAATATGTACTTTGTACTTTGTAGTATCTAGCTTCCTGACATTACCATAGTTTATTTGAGCTAGAACATGGGCTTGGTTATTGATATGATTTTTTTAATGGGTATATTGGTTTGGCAGAGACTAGTTCAGCATCAGCCTACACAGTATCCAACATCAGAGGAGTTGAGTATTGGAAGGATCAAGTTTAAGGCTTTTGATCTTGGGGGTCACCAGATTGCGCGAAGAGTCTGGAAAGATTACTATGCTAAGGTATTTTTCTCTTTCTCTCCCTCTCCTAATACAAACACATTTGAAAACATATCATTAGATGGAACTTGGCCACGATTCCCACGAATAGATGTTTGGAATATAGGATTAAATCTTAATGTCCAATCTGATATAGTTTTGGTCTACGTGCTAATATTAATGTGTGGTGATCAGTGATCATGCAGCAATTGCAGATATAAAGCTGCACTAGAAGTTTGACCGGAATATGTTAATTTGTTGTTCTAGCTGTTAACAAGGATAAAGTTTTGTTTTCCTACACTCATTACTGGAATTGCATTGTTATTAATTTGTTAAAAATACTATCGTGGTGTGGAAGATTTTAATATATTAGACTAATATCTATGTTATTTTGACTAGAACTTAGTTAAAGGATTGATTGATGCCTTCATAATCCCAGCTAAATGGTCATTGTTTATCTGATTCATGGGAGGCAGAAATAATACATGGTAATTCGCTGATAGCACCCTTTCTCATCAGAGGGTTGCTAATAGTATTTTATCAGACATATATGCTGTTGTTACAAATTTTTTTCTATTGAGTGTCTCGTTGAACATAATATATACTTAAATTAAGGGATATCCGGATACTCATGCTTCCATATTTCTGTCTGCTACTAGTATACCTCTAGAAAAACTGATTCTCTGAAAAGATCAAGCATTCTCAGAAATTGGTTTCTTTTTTGTTGGTTTTTAATTGTTGCTTGCATTATTAATGAACTATTCTCAAGCATTAAGCATTTCTTGACTTTGGCACGTGCAAGTGGATACATGACTTTCTAAATTGTTATAAATATTTAAACTGATGACTTATTCTCTGGCTTTAGATATACTATTATTTATTCGCCCATGCTGGAGAATCTAGAGTAAGCTTCATCTTTCTTTAATGCAGGTAGATGCAGTGGTCTACTTGGTTGATGCATATGACAAAGAAAGATTTGCCGAGTCTAAAAAAGAGTTGGATGCTCTTCTCTCTGATGAGTCTTTGACTACTGTCCCTTTTCTTATCCTCGGAAACAAGATAGATATTCCATATGCCGCCTCAGAAGAAGAGTTGCGTTATCATCTGGGCCTGACCAATTTCACCACAGGCAAGGGCAGTGTAAATTTGTCAGACTCTAATGTCCGTGCTATGGAGGTTTTCATGTGCAGTATTGTGAAGAAAATGGGTTATGGAGATGGTTTCAAATGGCTCTCTCAATACATCAAATAGTCCATGTAATAAGTAAGAGATGGCTTGGAATCCTGTTTCTAGAAGCCTTTTCCTATAGTTGTGCTATAGAGATGTTCTTAGTACAAATTGCTGTTAAACATATTTTGTTCTTAGTACAAAGAAATTGTTGTTAAAGCCTAAAGGAAAATGACACTTCTTTCACTGATTCATTATATGCCGTGCAAATTTAGTTATTTCTGGTCGTTGTTTATCTTTTTTTCCGGAAGGGAAACGGACGGCTATAATATATATACTTAAAGACTCTTGTCCTTGCATCCATGCTAGGAAAACAAAGTTTCTTGCAGGCTGTTGGCTGAGTTTGCTAGACATCATCAAATCAATCACATGAAACAATATTTCACCTCTATTTTGTGAACATTAGCATCTCCTCCCTCACGTAAATCTGAAATCGTCACCATTATTCACCATTGTGTTGTAGTCAGCAAAACCTTGCGATGTAGCTAGTTGCTAGGCAGAACTGCGGGCTCTACAATGTTTAGGTATCCCATTAGCTATAAGATTCTCAACCTATCAAATAGTAATCAACGGAACTAGGATGTCAATTAAACTAGGATATTAGTAATCAACGAAAAACAACTAATGACATGGCTGAAAATTACCTATCAAATACTCCTTTCATTTTCTTCACGTAGAAATTTTTGATTCAAAGTCTTTTTCTCGATCCTCAAGTATATTCAATAATCTTTATATTATCTTATAACGGTCAGATGTTTCTTTTTATCATGATTGCAACGAAATGTTGATTAGATCAAATACTTATCCGTCTTGTAGATTGTTATTCAATATTCTTATTGAACTAATAATTGTCAATATTTTGATTTAGTCTAGTATTATTCTATAAATATGATTGACAACATCTTAGTTATGAAACTTTGTTGGTACACTTCAAGTATTGTTTATTAATTCTTTAAATTTTACTTTTTTAAATTAACATACCTTTTCACTCATCAATTGTAGTTATTATTAGTACTTTGAAATATTCAAAACACATGTGAGATTATAAAATGCTTCAATAGGTGAAAGAGTGATTAGCACTATCCTTTTGACTTTAGTTTTTCAATAATTTGTTATCTGATTTTATTACATGTTTATAAAATAAATAAAAATTAGGTGAAGATAAAAATATGGCTTAAATATGTTTTTAGTCCCTCAAATTTAAGATAAATTTATTTTTGGTCTCTCAAATTTAAAACTGTTGTTTTTCGTTCCTGTAATTTTAAAAAATCTTGTTTTAGTCCCTTAAGTCACTAATAACATAATTGAAAGTGACTAATTAAGATAGTTATGCAATATCAACTGGATTTAATATGATATTTTCACTAATAGGGACACGAATAGGTAAATTTTATGCAATAATGTTTGATAAATTTCTTAACAAAATTTGAATATAAGGACTAAAATAATATTTTTTGAAACTACAGGGACTAAAAATAACTTTAAATTTGAGGGACCCAAAACAGATTTACCCTAAATTTGAGGGACTAAAAACATATTTAAGCCTAAAAATATTATTAATGACATAACAATGAATATTATCTTAAAATTTTAAATAAGCAAATGATAGCAGCACAAAATTTACTTTAAAACATTAAATAAAAAGAAGTAGAAGTGATTTTGATAAATAAAAAAAGTGCACAATATACTCAAAATTATTGATTGTCTCATGCATGAAAAAAAATCGTCTATATCCATTTTTAAAAAATGGGGATTATGGCTCTCCTAGTCCTACTCGTAATAGCTCTCCCGCTACTCACTCTGTATATTTTATTTTAAAATAAAGAAAGCTATAAAGATGGTGATCGGTCAACATATATTGATGTATAGATAACGTCCCAAGATGTTTTAGGCTACTAAAATGGTACGTCGATGAATTGTTTACTTTTAAGTTATCAAATATTCAATTCCATGTCTATTTATTTGTCTAGCCATGTCATTATTTTCACGAAAGATCTTGGCTCAGATTATTGGACTTGTATACATTTATTTTTCGTCATTTTCACAAAACTACTCGTCATTTCATCATGTGGGAAATTGGTCGCCATTCATTAGGTTTATTAATTTTGTCATTAAAAGTTTTAGCACTGTCTCTCCGACGGGGATGTAGCTCAGATGGTAGAGCGCTCGCTTAGCATGCGAGAGGTACGGGGATCGATACCCCGCATCTCCAAAGGGTAAATGTTTTTATATTTTTTTTTCGCTTATATGTGTTATTCTCTTTTGACTTTCTTGAATCCAATGACACCATCTTCTTTAAGAAATACCTAACTGACGTGGCAAATCCATTCTCCAATACGATCACCTAACTGAAGTTCCAAAAATGACATGCTCCACAAGTTAGATAGATTGGTAACAAAATATTAATATAATCTATCTAGTAAACGTTGCTTTCACTTTTTGTATCACTCAATTTTTCTGCACCCATTATCGATATAAACTGGTGTTATTTGTTAACCAAACCACTGATTCACTTTCTTCTTTTCCATTATTATATCTTTGTGAGGTGGCCTACTATATTCAGCTCTAGTTGCCACTTTTGCTCAATACCAACGTCATCATCACATTTATATTAAGTTTCCGTCGTTTGCTTTCTCCCCATGCACTCAACTGTTTCACACGACACGAGTATAGTCATGGCTTTTGGACTCATGCTAAAGGGAAATTTCAGCATCGTTATTATACTTTCAATTTCAATGTTTTGCTTCTACTCAGGTCATGAATTATGACTACACCTTATCTATTATGGCTTCAACTAAGTTTTCTTTCTATCATTTATTCTATGCAACACTTACGGATCCTGATATATACAATTTGAAATTTTTAATTGCATGTGTATTCGTGAAAAAAAATGAACAGAGGCAGCCGAGGGTGATCTGCAAGGACAAAGCATCGTAAAGGCCTTATCGTGCTTTGACAATAAGCTGGTGAGTAACAAATATTTGATGCCATTTGTTGTAAGCATGTTATTTCACGTTAAGCTCTCATACAACACGAATTCAATGTCATCTATTTTCTCCAGTTATATGTTGGATGTGATGAGGCATATAGATTAAACCCATCTGGGAATGTTAACGTACCACCAGAGGCTACTGAACTTTTCTGCAGTGGGCCATGCCTAACTGAAACACAGCTAGTGCTTAATTGCATTGATAATATACTGTCCAATTTCATATTCTACAACAAAGCTACTGTACAACAAATGAGATATGCACTAAATGCTGGCTGTAGCTACTCAAGACAAAGAGGTCAGGATGCTGGTCACTTTCCGCATACACTTGTATATATCAGCTTGAAACTTCCTTTTCTTTTTTCATTTTCTTAAAAAAAATGGCTGCTTTAACAACATGTTAGCTACGTGTAGGAAACTTCAATTGGGCAGACTACATAGAAGGAGAGACAAATAATGCTCCCAAATTTCCAATCGTGAATAGATCTCATCTCTTCATCCTGGTAGCAGCTGCGGTTTATTTAATGTGACACGTGGTAATAGCAGTAAGAAACAGATACACAATGGATTTCATTACAATGTTTAGCCGGATAGTGATACGTTCCTTCCTTCTTGTAACGTGCATGACTGATGTCTTAATGTAATCCGTATGGTACCGTACAATCCCAAGCAAGGATCGATTTCAAATGAAATATTTGCAGTTAGTCAGTAGACTCTACAGTTCTTCATGACTCAACGAAATATATCAGCATATCCCATTAGACGCGCACAAAGACAAGACGGAGAAAGACATAAAAAGCGTAGTTAAAAATGTATAAAAAGTATTTTACATGTTACTCCTTCGGAATAATACAAAAAAACTTCAGTCATCGGATTCATTTGAAACTACACGGATTCTCCATATATCTAAAAATTACCAAAATCTGTGAATCAATGTAGAAAATATTGATTCCTTAATCTCAATGGCATGATAAAGTATCCAGTGCGAACTTGAACCAATCCCTACAACCAACTTTGAGTTTGACATATCCAGATCATTGTTTCCTTTCCAATTCAAATCCATGATGAAATGTCAAAATGGTCTGGAATTGGGACTTGAACGGTATTTGTCTTCATGCAACACTAACAAATTAGATTGGTGGCATTCTCCAATCTTCATGCATGCATTAAATTGAAAAGAGAACTCCTTTAGTTTGTGTCAACCAAAAGAATGGTTATTATTTCACGCAACTACCCAGTTGCACTGTGCCCCGGAACTTTCTTGACCCCGCCTCCTCGCATCAACACTCTAACTTTCTCAACTTCATCCCACCTCCCTTCTTCTGCATAAACATTGGACAGCAACACATAATTTCCGGAGTTCCATGGTTCAAGACGAACGAGCTCTTTAGCCGCAGTTTCCGCAGTTTCCCTGTCACCATAAGTCCGACAAGCACTAAGCAATGCACCCCACAAGGCAGCAGTTGGCTCCACGGGCATGCTTCCGATCAAGTCACGTGCTTCCCTCACGTGCCCACAACGCCCAAGCAAGTCAACAACACATCCATAATGCTCCAGTTTAGGCAAAACCCCAAACTTGACACTCATAGCAGCAAAAATCTCACGCCCTCTATCAACCAAACCAGCATGAGCACAACACGCCAAAACCCCCACAAAAGTGGAATCATTAGGAGCAACTCCTCCTCGCACCATCTCCTCAAACAACTCAACCCCAACTTCCCCTTCCCCGTTATAAGCCAAACCCGATACCATAGCGTTCCAAGAAACAACATTTTTACTAGCCATGTTATTGAAAATGCCCCATGCAGCTTGCAAGTTACCACCTTTACAATAAAAATCCACGAGCGAGTTCCCCACGTTAACAGCGTCTCGTAGAAACCCCTGTTTGTTTGCATAGGAATGGATCCACTCACCAACATCCACAGCTCCCAAGCGAGCACAACAAGGTAACACAGTAACCAAGGAAGCCTCATCAGGCTCAAAACCCTCCTCCAACATTTCTCGAAAAAGCTCAAGAACCTTCTCCTCTTTCTCACCCCGCGCTAAACAAGACATCATGAGGTTCCACGAGACCACGCTCCGTTCCTTCATTTCCCGGAAAAGCTTAAAACCCGTTTCCAACTCACCCGTCTTGCAGAACCCTTGAATCATCAAGTTCCAAACGACGACGTCCCTGTGACGGATTTCGTCGAACACCTTGGCGGCGTCGTTCATTCTCCCGCAACTCGCGTAGAGCCCGACGGCGGCGACGCGGACGGAGGCGTGGCGTGCGAAGCCGAGGCGGTGGACATGGGCGTGGACGGTCTGGCCGAGGGCGTAGCGGCGGAGGTTGGCGGCGGCGTTGAGGAGCGGCGCGAAGGTGTATTCGTCGGGGGAGATGGCGCGGACCTTCATGAGGGAGAAGAGGGAGAAGGAAGGGGAAAAGGGTGAGCTTAGAGAATGGGCCTTGATGATGGCGTTGAAGAGGAGAATGTTGGGGTTGTGGGCTTGGGCGAAGATGGTCGCGGCGTAAGGGGTTCGGTGGAGGGAGGCGCAGACGGAGACGAAGTGGGCCAGGATTTGGTTGGAGTGGTGAAGCCCATGGCGGAGGAAGTGGGCGTGGATTTGGGTTAGTTGGGTGCGGGTTTTGGCGCCGTGAAGGAGACGTAGAATTTTGCGTTCAATCTCTCTGCCTCTGCTCATTGCACTCATACTTCATAGCATTACCATTTACACCTCCTTTCTTATGTCTCTTCACTTCGTCACACTCACAATACCACTTCTACTTTTACCTTGCACCTCCACTCTACATCATATGTATATTTTAAGAAAATCCATGTTATAAGTTGTAAGTGTACTACAACTAAATAACAGTTAATAATACATTTTCAAATTTCAATAACATTCACTCACTTGTATTTTTAGTTTAAGCACATTAATATTACTTTTGTCTTCATTTATGAGACTTTTATAATTAAATTACACATTTTTTTTTAAAAAATAATTAATTTAAATAAGAAGATTAAATTTGTCAATAATTTAAATTATTTTTTTTAATTTATACTTAACACCTCTTAAATTAATATTCTCTCTTTCTACTTAATTATTTCTCACTTAATTAATTAATATTTGAGAAAATAATAATGTTAAATTAGATGAATTAGATATCTTTGTGTTATTTATATTCTTCAATTTTAATAAGAGAGATAATTTTTATTCAATTAACTTTAAGTATAATTATTATTTTAAAAAAATTGCTAATTAAATAAAGATATTTTAAAGAAGATATAATTATTGCAAGTGATGACAATTAGAAAATGATTTTATAAAAGGGATAGATGAAAAATATAATTATATATATATATATAATTAATGCAACTAAAAACTTAAAAAGGGTCTTATTCATATATAAAAGGGACATATATAAAAAAGTGGGAAAAAATCTTTACATAAAGACAAAGATAAGAAACTATACTATAAGTATATTTTAAGATAATCTTAATTATAACTTGTCAATGTATTCTAATTTTAAAAAATTGAGTAATTAAAAAATCTTTTGAAAAATATACTTAAAAAATATATTAAAATATTTTTAATACATCTTATGATTTCTAAACTTTTTGGTATTTTTTTATTATACTCTTAAATTAACAAAATTTATAATTAAACTCTTAATATTCTCTCTTTCTATTTAATTATTTCTTACTTAATTAATTAATATTTAGAAAGATAATAATGTTAAATTAGATGAGTTAGATATCTATGTGTTATTTATATTCTTCTATTTTAATAAGAAAGATAATTTTTATTCAATTAACTTTAATTATAATTATTATTTTAAAAAATTGTTAATTAAATAAAAAATATATTTTAAAAATATATAATTAATAAAACTAAAAACTTAAAAAGGGTTCCTATATAAAAGGGACACCAAAAAGTGAAAAAAAATATTTACATAAAGACAAAGATAATAAATTATATTGTAAGTATATTTTAAGATAATCTTAATTATAACTTATCAATATATTCTATTTAAAAAAAAATTGAGTACATTATAAAATCTCTTGAAAAATATACTTAAAAAATATGTTAAAATATTTTAATACATCTTATGATTTCTAAACTTTTTGGTAATTTTTTATTAAACTCTTAAATTAACAAAATTTATAATTAAGTCCTTAAGATTAAAATTTTGTTTATTATTTATTTAATCGTACTTAAATAATCACTTCAAATTATAATTTTATATTGTAATTTATATGTATTAAATTTTAATCTTTAATTATAAAAATTTCTTTACCACTTCGTTAATCGTAAATATTTTGGAATAATAGAAAATTTTAATTTTTAAGAATTAAAATCTTATACACGTAAATAGTGATATGAAATAATGATATATTATGATGTTTCAAGTATTGGTATATAGAAAATATTTTGTAAAATTTCACATATTATAAATAAATTTTTAATCAAAAGATTAAATTATAAAAAGATGAAGGAACAAATTATAATTATTTAAAATTTAAAAATTTCATTGAAATTTTTTTAAAAAATTAAAAACCAAACTATGTATTAAACCTATAAAAGCAAATGCATTTTGGAGTTCCAAGTATGCATGGTTTATAAATATTTTGACTGGAGTGAAATTGTCTGCGACGGAAAATACACATGATATATAAGAAAGAAAAAAAAAACAAAACCTTTATAGCATCACGTCTGTCAGTAAAACAAATAATAATGTATGTCGACGACAGGTAAGAAGAACGTAGTGCAGTGCGTCCATCCTCTGTCCTAAAATAACCTATTCTACTCTCACCAGTCACCACCAACCTCATCTCATTCTATTTGTTACGTTCACTCTATTTTTATATCTTTCACACTTTCTACCATTTTCATCATCTTCAATACGTTCATGAAATTATTTTATGATATTTACTTAAAGGAGATATTTTTATAAATGTTATTTTTATAAGATTATTTCACAGGCAACTTTACAATAATGAGATATTGTCTGTTTTAAGCTTAAGTCCTCAAGATTTTGTTTTTAGTCATCACCCAAAAGAGGCTTTTTGACCAAAGTGGGGTCGTTGACCAAGTTATTTACCTAAATGGGGCTGTTTTGAATTTATTTACGCCTTTGGGGCTGTTTACAACGGTGTCGTTATGGGCCATAGCGACACCAATGCCACGTGGCTTTTTTTACACTTCAGGAAAGCCATGAAAGCCATATTAATAGTGTCGCTACAGCCCATAGCGGTATTAAATAGCTTCAATAAAGTCGTTGTAGCCTAAAGCGACACATATATAAAAAATATTTATTTTTAATTATTAAAAAGTGATAAAAAAACAATTTATTTAATAATTTTTTTTATAAAAAAAAAGAAAAATAGTGGCGCTGTAGGCTACAGCGCCACTTTTTTAAAAATAAAAAACAAAAAATACAAAAATAAAATGTATAAAATAAAGAAAAATGAGAAATAGATAAATATTTATAAGTACATATTTTTATGATATTGGTAAATAATATAAAATGTGATAAAAAACAATTTATTTAATAATATTTATAAAAAAAACAGAAAAATAGTGGCGTTGTAGGCTACAGCGCCACTTTTTTAAAAATAAAAAACGTAAATACAAAAATAAAAATGTATAAAATAAAGAAAAATGAGAAATAGATAAATATTTATAAGTACATATTTTTATGATATTGGTAAATAATATAAAATGTGATAAAAAACAATTTCTTTAATAATTTTAATAAAAAAAAGAAAAATAGTGGCGCTGTAGGCTACAGCGCCACTTTTTTAATAAAAAAACAACGTAAATAGAAAATTAAAAATGTAAAAAATATAAAAAATCAGAAATAGGTAAATATATAAATATATATTTTTATGATATGCGTAAATAAAATAAAACTTGATAAAATCAATTTTTTGAATAATTTTAAAAAAATAATAATAAATAAATAATGTGGCGTTGTGGCCTATAGCGACACTGTGGCGCTATAGGCCATAGCGACATAAGTGGTGGTTGAGAAATTAATTACAGTGGTCACGTGTCAAATTACCGCTGATTTAACCAGTAGTAATTGGACACGTGGCTTCGAACAGTAAAAAAAAATAAAATAAAAATGCTTATATATAGTGATTTTACCTCAGATGGTCCCCCCCCTCATTTTCGTTTCCAGACTTGTTGCATTCGAGAGCATTAGGTAAGTTTTAATTTTTTTATTTATCTGTTTAATTTATTTAAAAATTATTTACTTACTTTTAAATTTTGTTAAACGTTTAAATATCCTCCTCTTTAGAAGTCTCCTCTAGCTTCCTAACCATGGACCTAGTTAAAGGCCCAATGGTCTTCATGGGTGAGCCTCCTTGGATCAACCTTCGCCTTTCTTGGTCTTACTTCTTCCAAATGGATCCTTGGGGATTAGATTTCCATCATACTGTAATTTAGTTAGAATTATTTATATTTTTTTTGTGTAATAATTTGAAAGTCGCTGTAGGCTAGTCATTTGACATAGTTGTGTTATTCATTTTTAATTATTTCTGTGTAATTTATATTCAATTTAAAAATAATGATATTTATATTTTGAGTTGATTTATTTTAATTCTGTTTAAAATATGTTTATATAGAAAAGAAATTAATTAAAAGAAATTCAAAAAATTTAATAACGTGTTATTTAAATTTATTTAAAAACAATTATTTTAAAATTAATGATATTTAAATTTTAAATTGATTTATTTGAATTCTGTTTAATTTATATTTTTGCAGAAAAAATTTAATTTAAAAATAAAAATTATATTAATTTAATAACGTGTTATTTAAATATATTTTAAAAAAATTTATTAGAATTTTAAATAGAATTAAATAATTTCTGTGTTAGTTATAATTATTTTAAAATTAATGATATTTAAATTTTGAATTGATTTATTTGAATTCTGTTTAATTTATATTTTTGCGGAACATAATTTAATTGAAAATAAGAATTAATTTAATTTAATAACGTGTTATTTAAATTTATTTTAAAAAAATTATTTAAATTTTAAAATGAATTAAATTATTTCTTTGTAAGTTATATTTATTTTAAAAATAAAGATATTTAAAT